TAGTTTATCGTATTCAATAATTTAATATTGTTAGCTTTTACATAAATCATGTAAGTTTAATGGTTAAGGGATTTGATGATACATCTTAAGGTCTTAGGTTCAAACATTGTGTATTCTAGAAGAATGAATCTTTATTATCAAATGGTTTAGAATTTTTGAACAAATACTACCTTAATTTACCAAAAAAAAAAATTGTTAACTTTTTTTTAGAAGAAATAGGATTGAAAATATATATAGAAGGTCGCACTTGATTTTAAAATCAACTAAAACATATAATAATTAATAAATAAAAATTATTAGAATGATAAGTATATTAAAGAGATTAAATTTATTAAATTAAAATAAAGTTATAACTAAATTGATAAAATATACTAATTTTTTAATAGTCACGTCAGTTGTTCCGTTAAATGTTAACGACTGATGGTTTGATAGATTACGATCAAATAATTAATAATCTTATTGACATAATTAAAAGATCAATGGTCAAAATGAAATTCGTTTATAATTGAGTGACCATGAGGTGTAGTTTTCCATCCTTTCAATCTTCTCTCCACTCTACCAAACAAAACCTTAAGGTTTCAAGTCACGTACTAATAAAAACAAACTTTATTACTTTTGGTTCACCTAATTAAACTTCTTTCTCAACAACCCATGTTTACGGGGAATGTCTCAGGAAATGCGGGTTAATATACGGCTAATATACAGCATTACCGGATACATTAAAATGTATTTAATAAATTCGGTTTAGCGGTACCTATTATGTTGACAACTAATAATGTTTTAGGTAGAAAATATGAAAAACTATTAAAAAATTTGGTAACCGGTAAACTTTGGTTATCGGTAAGTATCTATCCTTTTTATAAAAGTGTCCATACTTTTAACATATCAAGTAAATTTTACCGGTTTTGTCATAATGAATCTGGTTTTGTCATATTTTTACCTGTTATATTGTAAATTATCTATCCTTTTTATAAAAGTGTCCATACTTATTTCACTGTGAAAATATATTTATTATTATCTTTAGTTAATATTGTTAAATTTAAAATCTAAATAATATTTTATAAAATATCAAAACAATCAAATAATTTTTTGTGTAAATGAAATTATTAAATTAATATTGTAGGTGGAAAACATGAAACACTATTAAAAAAATTGAAACATAAATTACATAACTTTAAAAAAAGTATATATCATTTTTATAAAAGTGTCCATACTTATAAAAGTAGGTCTAAGTCATGAAGAAATATTAAAAAATTGTGCTACCGGTTCGTGTCGATCCAAATTAAAAATGTGTCGATCCAAAACGATATAACAGGTAAAACTATGACAAAACCGGTATAGAAATTATAAAACCGGTCAAGCGCTATCGGATACATTTAAAGTGTCGGTACTTTAATATAAGGATCGACACTTCGTGAATTTAAAAGAGAAGCAGTTTTAAATCCTATAAAGTGTCGATACTTTTAAAAAATGTATCGATCCAAAACTATATACCAGGTAAAAATATGATAAAACCGGTAACAAAATGATAAAACCGGTAAAACGTTACCGGATATATTAAAAGTGTCGATACTTTATATAAGGATCGACACTTTGTGAATTTAAAAGAGAAGCAGTTATAGCGCCTATAATGTGTCGATACTTTAAAAAAAATATATCGATCCACAACGATATAACAGGTAAAAATATGATAAAACCGATATCAAAATGATAAAACCGGTAAAATGATACCGGATATATTGAAAGTGTCGATACTTTCGTAAGTACGTGTAATAAATTATCGACACTTTCAAAGAAATAGGTAATTATCCTTTCGAAAGTATCGACACCTGACATAAAAGTATCGACACTTTTGTATTTGTATCGATTAAATATAAATAACATATCCGATGAAAATATAAAGGCCATAGCTAAATATCCTCTGAAAAAAGATAGAACGGACGAGTTTTTGAAATCGAAGAGTAATTGTTGCTGCATTTCAGAAGGCGTTTCTAAAGCGAAGTTTGTTTGTTTGTTGCTGCAGTCGAATCGAAAAGTATGTTGTCGAAACCCTAATTTTTTATTATTACAGTAATCGCGATAGGGTTTTTTATGTGTTGTTTGGGGTTTTGGAGTAAGGAAGCATTTGGGACCGATTGCAGGTAGAAATAGATATTCAAGGAAAAATATAAATGTCGATACTTTTATTAAATATTATAGGTAGAAAATGATATTATAGGTTGTATAAATGTGCCGACACATTTTGGTGTGGCCATTCAAATTCTTTTGAAGAAAACCGTTTTACCACAAGAGTAGTTATTTATATTTGTATATTGAATAAAGTGTATGTAACAAAATAATTTGATTTGCGTAAACTGATATATGAAGGAAAAATGGAGTCAATGGGTTGGAAAATTGTTGGTGGAGCAGATGACTTTGAAATTGAGGCCGAGACTCGAAAGCAACCAAAGGGTGGATATATGTACTTCTAGTAAGTATCAATGTCTTTTTGTTATTATTGTTGAAATGGTAATTGGATTAAAGTATCGATAAACTTTAAATTGATTACAAATTTTAAATGTTAACAGTATGGCCGAATGCAAAAGGATGAAGGGAGATGGCACACAGAGCGGTTCGGTATGTAAAATGAAATTGACATTGAGTAGTATTAGTATTTAGTGTTAATGTATTGATTAAGAAACGTTTATGTTTAATATTAGGTGAAAAAAGATGTGAGGTCCAAATGGAATTCAATGAGTGATGCTGAAAAGGAACTTTACATCACACAGTCAATGAATGATAGTAAAGAATACAAAGAACGGAGGAAAGCACATGAAAATAAGGTATTCATTAAACTTGTAAATACGTTGATACAAAATATATAAGAACTATAACATTATATATTGTTAAAAAATGTAGGAAGTGTCGACAAGATGCAGCATTAAAATGGTGAATTTATTAATTAAACACCTTAAGGAGAAGGGTCAGTTGAATGTGCTGGGAGAAATAGGTTTTGGATCGTTGATCGGAGTAAGGGATCGACCTATTCGGAGGGAATTGTGTGACAAGTGTGACAACTCCATCAACTCACAACTCAACTTTGAACTCAATCAATATTGTCTTTTAGCTTGATGGTTCATAAAGCATGTTACTTGAACAGTATGAATCAATTATGCAATTTTCATGTTCAATTTAACACTGCATTTCAAATTCATTTCATATGTAATTGGAGTTTGAATTTAAATTTCAATTTGAGTTTGAATTTCAATATATATTTCGGCTCCACTATAAATATTAGCCCAAGCCAATATGCATGTTATCATTGATTATTCCTAATTTCCATTGTTTTTTTCTAACGTTTAAACGCGAGGGAAATCCAGACCATTGTATTTTTTGGTCAACTTTAAAGCGTCAGAAACGTTTCGGGCGTATGATCTGGGTGGTAAACAAATAGCAACTAAAATCATAAGTCCGAAATGCTTCTGAGTACCACCCAAATCATAAGTCTGAAATACTTCCGATGCTCATCAAAATCCAAAGCTCATATGGTGCCAAGCAAAAGGAAATCAAAATTCAAATCTCATACAATGCCAAGCAAAAGGAAATCAAAATCTACAACTTGAGTTTGAACATTGATATGATATGTTCAGTTGTTATCATGTTGGGATTTTCTCGTTTTTGATTGCTTGGATAGTTGTTCTCTTGCTTCTTCAAGTGTCCTTAGCTTGTAATTTATAACTTGGAATGTGTTTGATGTTGTATATATTATTATTAAATTAAAAACAATAAACATATATATTACATATTTATTATTATCTTTGGTTAATGTTATTAAATTAAAAATTCTAAATAATATTTTATAAAATATCAAATAATCAAATAATTTTTTGTGCAAATGAAATTATTAAATTAATATTGTAGGTGGAAAACATGAAACACTATTAAAAAAATTGAAACATAAATTACATAACTTTAAAAGAAGTATCGATCCGTTTTATAAAAAGTATGGACACTTTCAATATAATATAATGTAATAGGTAAATTTGCAATACTATCGGTATAAATATACCGGTTTACTTATAAAATAGGTAAATATAAGCACTACCTATTACATTATATAAGCGCTACCTAGTATGTTATTGTACTTTATAATATTTCCGGTTAAATAATATAACATAACCGGTATAAATTTTAACTGGTCACTTGTTTAACCGGTCACGCCGTATATTAACCGTTTTTTAGGCGCCGCACCGCAGAACTACCCATGTTTACGTACATTGCTTATTTAGTAAACACCGTAGCGTTAAATTATTGTCTTACCAACTGACATAAAATACAACGTCATTTATTTAATATAAATAATGATGTGCTTTTTTTCTTCTTTTTCTACTTGTCTTGATAGGTATGGTGAAGAAAAATATTTGCTTTGCAGATAAAGAACCAATACACGAAACTTCTGTAGATTAATTCTGTGCTATCTTTATGGCTTAAAGCAGCACCAATACTGATACAAAGCCCGAGCTCGTCTAGCTTCATTAGACTCCCTTTTAACTTCTGTTCCAATTAATTCAATTTTCTCATCATTCTGCCACCACGTGGCTTCTCAAATTGGCAGAAATTGTCTATGGATCTAATTTGCTACTTACTCGATAAACCTCAGCTTCAAGATGCAAAGCTCAATCTTGTCAATAATGACCATACAATCTACAAGGTTACAAATCAAAGATTTAGCACGTGTTAACCTTTTCAACCTCTTTAATTATGTCATTCACTTCCTTTCCATGGCTTTTAATCAGGTTAAATGAAGGAACCGACTGATTATAAGCAATCAGAAATAAGCATTGATTGAATTCTTTTAACGTCTAAGCAAAACTTTCACTGCAAGAACAATAATTAACGGGCAGTTGATTCGAGAATATAATATAGAAAAGAATGTTAAGCATAGCCCAATGCCCTAAGTAAAAAAAAAGGATTGCAGGTACGGTTGAGAAGAGAAATCAGCGAATCAGGTATTCAAATTAAAAAAAAGAAAACACAACAGCTCACAATTCATTTATCAAGCAACGTCAATATGAAGAAACCAGTCAACTGTAACACAAACCATGTTTATTCTATGGTAACGCAAAACCACTCAAAATAAAAACAAATCAAACCAAAGCACTCATTCTTTTCGTATTCATGTATTGAATGAGATACCCTATTATTCAATTATTATAAAGCCATGATGTGGAGCGGCCCAGCCAGCCATCTCATCCCGCTACTTTTCTGGGAATACTTCTGCCAGGCTGTATTTGTTGGGTTGGCCTAAGAAACATGTCATTAGATTCCGCAGTCCACTGCACCCCAGCCTTCATAGGTGCCGGCCGTATTTGCCCAACATACTGCCTCTGATTTCCAATCCTAACATTTCCCGTCTTTTCTGCAACATCTGAAGCCGCTCCACCATCATTTTTATCCTTGCTCATGGATACTGCCAGACCACAAATACATTTCAATTCAATCGAACAAGATTACTACTAAAATAGACCCATTGAAAAATTTCAATGTCGATCTATCTTCAAAAACCAGAACAGGTTAAAGCATATCAGAAATGAACTACTTCTATTGATAGAACAAATATGGATAAATTTTATATTGCTTTCATTTTCCTTATACTTCAATGGACTGGTAATATTGAGATACTAGTCAAGATATAATTGAATATAAAAGGAAACAATATTTAAATCAAACAAAAATAAATAAATAAAAAGTCACTTACTTGGAGCCTTTCTTCCTGGTGGCAAATACCTGGGTTGTTTGGTAAAGTTCTTCACGGGTTTATCATTCTTTCTCAGATCCTTCAGAGAAGGCAATGATCATATTTAGCAGCAATACAAAGAAAATACTGTTAGAGAAGAAGAATTGACACCTTAAACATCGTTACCTGATTAAGCATCTCCGGTTTGCGTTGCACATCTACAAGAGTTGACAAAAAATAGAGAATCCACTATATAAAATCTAGGGAATAAACAACATTTGCAGTTGCAATTTAAAAAAAGGTAATGAGACAAAAAAAAAAACAGAACTAGATGCAACTCCTTAAAAATGCATAATTACAAATTTATTTGTAATTTCCTTCGGTAAAGAAGGTTCAAACTTCCCAAAAGGCATCACGTCTGTCTTAGTTTGATAAAAACCATGGCAAGAACACTTGATCATATTAATAATATGCAAGAAAGCTCTTTAAAGATACGAGCTCATGCACCCCACATCCAATATCATTAGTAAACTCTTTCCATATGGATACATATTCTACAATCTGTCACCTGTGCCAAAAGATGCATTCGTCTTCAGAGAAGAAAAGCTGCCAGTGAACTTCGTATTGGGTAGAGCCCCATAGGACCTCATAACTGATTGCTGTTCCAATGTTCCTTGAATCCCAACTACAAACATGCAAATCAGATATTAGCCACAAATGAGTCAAAATAATATACCCCTTCAAACATAAGAGAAGAACAGTAATGTTTTCAAACAAACCAGATGGAGTTGTTCTAGAAACAGCTATTCTGGGACGAAGAGAGGGAGGAACATAAAAGCAACTCTGCACATCATAAGAATTTCCTTCAGCAGAGTACTTGCTACAACATAAATGCATTTTACCATCATAATTAGGTCCCGCAATATAATTATAAAAAACCACCTGAAAGAAAGGATGTTGAAGGGCCTCGGCAGCAGTTGGTCTTTTGCAAGGATCCCACGAACAAAGAGACTAAACAAACAACAAAAATAATGTCAATTTGTCTTGAAGAAATCCAAAAAAAAGTAATATTAACAGTTTGAATCACAAACACAGAAAGCCCTTCCAGCTGTAGGGTGCAAAGGAATTAAAACCAACAGAGTACACTTAACTGTAATTAGACTTATAGCATCATTGCTTGCTGATGGTATCAATGCAGACAGATGGACACCATCGAACTGCAATGTCGAATAACAGAGATTAAAAATTATATAAGATTTCATATACACAAACTATACCAATAGAAACAGCACATGCTAAAATAACTTGGAACTCATGCTACAAAGTTACAATTTGTGCGAGAGAACTTCGAGAGGAAGACCTGTGGGAATTGGTAATTTATAGCGCTTGCAAGATCAAGCCCATCGGGCCACGATTCCTTAGTTGGGGTACCTATTACACTACAGATTTTGTAGATTTCATCTGCTTCACTGCAACAATGATGAAGGGCTAGCATCAATTAAATGAATAGCCAGACAAATACCCTAATTGCCAAACAAATTAGAAAAGATAATTAGATATAATCACAAGAACACACCTGGTTCCAGGAAAAAGAGGACGTAAGGTGAATAACTCAGCCATGATTGCACCCATCGCCCACATATCTGTAATAAGAAAAAAACATACTTAAAGGGCTGCTGCCACTTCTATCCTCAAGTGAATCACTATCAAATGCAAAGAAAACTTGCCAACTATTGAAGTGTATATGTATGATTGAAGAAGTACTTCAGGGGCACGATACCTAAAATACAAGGAATTCAAGGCTTAGATCAGTTTTCAATGAATATACAAACATACACACACAATATATTAAAAGCACAAAATTCTGAATGTACCAAACCTACCAGCGCGTTGAGACATACTCCGTGTACGGTGGATGTGAATTAATTTCACGTGCAAGACCAAAATCAGCAATTTTGATTATATCTTTACTAACCAACAAATTCTCTATACAGAAAAGGGCAGTCAGTTGCAGGATATTTCTTTGAGTAGATGTAAACAAAATAAACAGAATCTGGTAGACAAAAATTTAAACAGAATACCTGGCTTTAGGTCACGATGAAAATATCCACGCTGGTGCATGTATGCAAGACCTTGAAAGACTTGGAAACACCAATTTCTGATTTCAACTTCAGAAAAAAGCTTTTCCCTGTCTTTCATAAGTTGGTAAAGGTTGCATTCCTGGAACCATTTCATGTTTAAGGAAAACCCCAATAGTTAATAACACAAATAAAAGCTGGTCACTTACCATATATTCAAACACAAAGAATAAAATGTCATTTTCCCTGATGACTTCCTTAAGCTTCACAATATTCGGATGATTCATTCTCTGCAGTGACTGTCAAAACAAACAGATTTTAAGGCATATGAAATAAAATAACTACAAGCAAAACAAGAATAAAGCAACTCATATTACCTTAACTTCTCTCAGATTCACACATTCTTCCCATGAGTAATATTTCTTCTTCATTTTCTTAATTGCAACCTGCAAAAAAGAAAATATTTATTTGAAAAGGATATTTCAATATCAACATAACAGATGACAAATGATCTTAAAATTAAGTAAATAAGATCCCAGGCATACTCACAATTTGCCCAGACTGCTTATGAATAGCTCGCCATACCCTACCAAAAGTTCCATCTCCAACTTCCTTAATTAACTTGTACCTAGCATCATTCCAGACATTGATAAGCATAAATGACCATGCAGAAAATACTGTCTAGCAAATCCTGTATTAAACAACTTACCTCTCCATTTTTTTGCAGAACAAAAAGTAACCCTTTCTTTATTCAGGAGATTTATAGGAAACAAGGATAGGCATGTGACAATTATCTTCAGTAGAAGATAGCTTGTATTTAAAACTATAAAACAAAAACAAACCGCTTCGGAGATAAGATAAATCCACCATTAATTTCCGCTGGATGCATGAAATAACATAAAGCCAGAATTTTTATATTGGATGGGCTTCAAAGCCTTATTTGGTACTAAACCCGCAGCTTCAAGACCAAAAGAAGGCATCAACGGTAGGAATGGATGGGCTCCAAGAAACATACTGATACAACCCGAATGATTGCTCCAGCCAGAAGGAAGGGTTCCTAGCTCAAGATACACTCGTTTGGTTCAAAGGCTTAATTGCTGTTAACTCATTTAAGCTAAATATAAACAGTTGCAGAATGCTCATTAAAGCAACATATCCTCAGTAATCAGTACCCATCAGGAGCAACAACAAAACATAAACTAAGAACTACTAATGCTAATGCTTAGCAACCAACTTTCAATCATCTACTACAAGCCCTGTGATGATAAGAAGTGGAAAAAAATATAACAAAGGTTAGAAAAGGAAGTAGCAGTTAACAGATATGATAAAAGATAATTATGGAAATATATCATGTACCTGGAAGGTGTTTTTTCATGACTGGTTGTTGTATCAACAAAGCACTAAAATTCATTACAACTCTCGTGTTGAGTACTAGAAAGAGGATGGGCATTAAGTGCAATTGACAAAGGAAACCAAAAGAGAATCTCCACTAGCGATAAACCGCCAGTCAAGCACTTCTTGGAATAAAAAGACCCGGAAGAGGTTGCAATTTGACCAGAAGCAGACTTTTGCCATATCTTGAAAAGGAAGCTAAATTCCTTTAAATCCAAGTCCGGTGCAATCTAACATTAAAATAAACATCAATTGAAACTTGAGTCAACATACGTCTTAATTGAGCCCATATGACACACTGATTCAAGCATATGACATGAAACAAGAGATTCTAAGAAAATCGAAATCTCAAGAAAGCCGCAGAGGCTATCATATTCAAGCAATATTCAATAAAAATGCACAACTAGCGTCCAGCCTGCGACTCATCATATCACGACGAAAAAAATCAATGCCTGTTTATAGGTAAAAGAGCAATTCCTAATCCCTGTATATAAACCAAACAAACAGCGTATGTGACAATTGGAGGAGCAAACGAAATAGAAATAACAACAAAAACAAACCAATTAATGAAAGAAATCAATAAATACTAAGAAAATTTGTTACAAAACAGAAAATCCAATTCCCAATAGATTAATTTACCCAAAAAAAGGCAAACAGAAAATAGATCCAAATAAGAAAGGAAAAAACATATGATCTAACCCTAAACTGAAAATCACAAATAATAAATTAAATCGGATCAGATCTAGATGAAAATAAATGGAATTAGTTACCTGGAAACCAACCGGCATAAGCACCGTCGGCGAGGACGATAAGAGGTGGAATCCAGAGCTTCGTAATTTCTGTCTCTCGTGAAAAATAAAAACAAAATGATTTGCGAGCGTGTTTGGAATAAAGAAGGCAAATGCCTAATTTATTGTGGTGGGTCTGAGTTGGAGACTTGAGAATCGGGAGTTTCTCTCGTGTGAACCAAGAAATCGCATAATTTTTGGGTTCTTTTTATTTCTCTCTATTTATCGGAGCCCGATCGGACCGGTTGTTCATTAAGGTGGTGTTTGTTTTTAAGAGGCAAAAGGTTTAAAATCTACGGACTACATTTGTAGGTATCTGCAGAAGAAAAAGTAGACTAAAAATTTACAGTTTGCAAAAGAATATTGTTTGTTTTTTAACGTTTGCAGACTGCTAAAATGAACTGAAATATAAATAAATTGATTTTTTAAACTTAAAAGAGTTTTGTAATACTTAGATTTAAATAATTTTAGTTTTACAATACTGAAATTTAAATAATTTATACATCTATAATAATAAATTATTTAAAATAAATCAATTTATATTTTAAAATAAATAAATTCATACTAATAAATTATTTAAAATAAATCAATCTATATAACTACAATAATAAATCAATCAATATTTTAAAATAAATCAATATTTACTAATAAATTATTTAAAATAAATCAATCTATATTTTAAAATAAATCAATTCATGCTAATAAATTATTTAAAATAAATCAATCTATACAACTACAATAATAAATCAATCTATACAAATAAATTATTTAAAATAAATCAGTCTATATAAATAAATTATTTAAAATAAATCAATCCATATTTTAAAATAAATCAATCCATATTAATAAATTATTTAAAATAAATCAATACATATTTTAAAATAAATCAATCCATATAAATAAATTATTTAAAATAAATCAATCCATACAAATAAATTATTTAAAATAAATCAATCCATATTTTAAAATAAATCAATCTATACTAATGAATTATTTAAAATAAATTATTTTAAAATAAATAAATCCATATTTTATAATAATTTATTTTAAAATAAATAGTTTTATTAAATTATTTAAAATTATTTTAATAAATAACCATATTTTATAATTGTTCATGAAGAGATTTGAAGACCTTTGAAGACATAAAATCATATTTGCAGCAAGAAGAGCTCATGAGCTTATGTCTTATAAAAAACAAACGGTCTGCGAAGCCTAATGTCTGCTCGTGATCTGCGCGGCGCAAACATAAGAGGTTTGAAGAGGTGGAACCGTGAAAATAAACACATGCTAAAATTAGTTTACTTTATTCCCATATGTAATGGGCGAGGGGAGATAAGGTAGTAGGTTGTCTCCAACGCCAAATTGAGAACAACTTCCGTAAAAGACCTCCAATAGTCAGAATTATTCTACGCTTTGGAGTCGGATGGATGTCGTCATCATTTATTATCTCCTTTGATACTTTCTCTATTGGGATTTAGGACAACTAACGACGATGACTCATACCTTATTCATTTCTCTTTAATAAATGGCTTAATGCACAAATAAGGGCTCAAATTATACTTAAAATTAACTTTAAATATTTAAAGAATTTTTCGTTAAAAATAGATATGTAACGTTTAACGTTACACTTTTAGGTGTCTACACTGTAAAGTTTGTTGGCCGTTAAGTGACCCATATCACATTTATATTTTTTAAAAATATTTATTTTAAAAAATACTTAAAAATATTATTTGTTTATTCTATTGTCGATCAGTCATCGTCGATCCATGGTCATCACCGTTGATGTTATCAAGACCGTCTCGTCGCCGTGACCAAAACCAAGTCCCTTATCCAAGGTTTTCCTTTGCTATTTTTTTACCATTTTGACGGCTTCTGCTATCTGTGCGTTACACGACCATCACCATTGAGTTCCTCACATTGAGTTCCTCACATTGCTCTGAACAAAATTCAACAGGTGGTGACATTTCAAAGATTGGGGGATGGAAGGGAGAGAAAGCAAGGGCGGATGAGAAGAAAGGGACGGTGGGGGGATTTTTTAATTTTTTTTAAGTAATGTTTTAGTTTTTAAAAAAATAAAAATATATATGAATGTGTCGTGTCACTTACTGAGATTTTTTTTAATAGTAGACACTTAAAAATGTAATGAAAAAAACGTTATGCAACTATTTTTAACAAAAAAAAAAGAATTTATTCACTTATTTTTACATTGGGCCTTAATAAATATTTACTTTTCAATTTTGATTGGTTATTATTGTTTAATTAATTAATTTTACTTTGGTCCAACTTTAATTAATTAATTTTAAGGTAAACTACAAGTTTAGTATATAAATTACTACTTTTATTTCGTTTAGTATTTATATTTATTTTTTTTCAAAATCATACCTAACATTTAATTTAGGTTTCAATTTGACACCTCACCGTTAAAAAATTAACATAACTATATACGTGACATATTTTTTATTTTTTTCAATGATGATGCAATATTACCTTATGATGACACATCAACATCATTGTTAAGTTTTTAACGAAAGACACTAAAATGAAACTTAAACTAAATATTAGATATGATTTTGAAAAAAAAAATAATATCATAACAAAATAAAAGTACTAATTTAAGTACCAAACTTACAATTTACGCGAATTTTATAAAATTATAAACTATTTACTTTACTATCCCCTAATTTATTTTATCATTAAATAAAAGCTTTTCAATGAAGTTTAAAGAAAATATAAAGAAATATTAAATATGTTGTTAGAAATATTCATAGTTAATTCCTAAAAATTCCTGAAGTCGCTTTTATATTTATTTATTATTGGTTGATAAGCGACCACATCAATCTTGATGTCTATTGTTGCCATCAATATTTTTTATTTTTATTTTTTATGTGACATCTTTATTTTATTTATTTTTAATAATTTTATTTTTATAACATATTTTTTTCATCTTTATGACATTTTTTTTAATATTTTGACACATTTTTAATTGTTTGGTCGTTATTTTTGTTTATTTTTTTCGTGGTTGGACTTAACATCGTCAAGACTAATCAAAATGTCACTTATTTGTTATAATGTTGATCTTTCACGCTTTAGAACATTCAATTGGATTTAGATACGTGATTTGTGTTCATGGATAATTTTCTCAAGTCGCTCAACTCTGATTTACAATTTATCGGTGATCTTTCAATAGTTTGATCTCCTTTATAGTTCATTTATCGATACAATCAGATTTGTTCATATATATATTCCATTCGAGTTTTTTTAGTTAGGTTTTTAATATTTCTCTTGTATGATCCTTTTGTGATCTCTAGTGGCTATTTTTTGTGTCAGTAGTTATTAGAAGATGTCATAAGTATGTACTTAGTTTACGATTATAATTATAGACCTTCATTGTAATTTTAAATATTTCACATTTTAATAAAACTAGCGACTTCTATGAGAAAAAGAATCTATACTTCAATTTAAATTTGACGTGATCCAATTTTTTATATAAAAATATCTAGTTTTATTAAAAAAAAATATTTAGAATACACATGAAAATTTAAAACTATAATTGTAAACTAAACACACAATTAAAACATTTCCATAATTAAAAAAGAGAAAACTTTGGGTTCCAAGTTGGGAAAACAAACATGTATTAAGCCTTAGATTTATAATTAATTACAAAAACATATAATTTTTTTTAATAGTTGTCGGAACCGTATTTCGGTTGGGCCTCAAAATTGGACTTCGACGTGGATTGATTGGGTTAGAGTCGCCACCGACCATTTTAAAACGAATTTTGGTGGGTCAGACACCATCTTACCTGATTTGCGTTGTACCAGAAACGTGTTGGGTTCGGGAGTCGGTTACGGTCAAGGAAGAGTTAGCACCATTGAACTGCCCTTTCGGTACCAATTAATTTGCCGGTTATTTTAATTGCAAAAATTACAAATTAAAATTTAAAATTTCAATTTAAATGTAGTGTTAAACAATTAGACATATATAGGAATATAACAATTAAATGTTAAACAATTACTTTGAAAATGACAGAAGTGAAAACATGATATTAAATAAAATAATAGATAAAAGATGCTATGCACATTGAAAATGGTTCAATGTCTAATGATACCTCTGAATTCCAGAACCAATAATTATACCAATAATAAAAATATATGAAAAAGCAAATGATAAACAACAAGGCTTTAAGAAATGTTCTGTAACCATATTTTATATTGAAATGTTCTGTCAAACAGTAAGTAAGAATAGACAGACCAAAAACGATTCAGTGAACCTAGATTTCAATCTGACAGACATACTTTTTTCGGCACTACCAAACCTGAAAATGCTGATCCATAAGCAATTTAAAATGATTTTTAGGTCGTACGTGTTCATTCAACATCAGCTAAATTATCATATAATAATTCAGGTCAAAGATGGAATCCAGAAAATAAACCACAATAAAAGTTGAATCACTTAAAACATCAGGAAAACTGAGAACATTCTTAAATGTTCAAATACCCACGGGCTAGTACTCACCCCAGAAAGGAAATAACATCCCTTCTACCTGGTTTCGTTTTAAATCCCTGCATGATGTCTGAAATTGCTTTGAGAACGGCTTCCTGAGGCGGCCTTGCTCGAGTGCGGAGTTGGGAATATTGGAGTGTTCGACAAGCTTATCAAGCGCATAGAAATTAATATCGCTAGTCAAGTTGGCAAAGTTCAGTACTTTCAACGACGTGAAGCTCTCCGGGAAGCTGCTCAACCAACTACATCCTATATCATCACTGCCATTCTCCTGTGTGTCAAGCTCAGTCAAGTTCACTGCAAGGAACTCCAAGCTTTGGTCGCTGATCGCCATTCGCTTCAGCCTAAACTCTTTGAGGAATGGATACTTCGCCATGAAAACGACCAGCCACCTTCCATTCCTGCATTTTGAGCTATCAACGACGCTGGTGCAACAAAAGCCTTCTCTAAAATCGATTTTGTGTGCAACACCGGCCTTTTGGATCACAGGCAAACCCAGCTCGTAGTTTTCTCTGAGCCAAAACTGGGGTATTCATGCTATACGTAACCCCCTATCGGCTTTGTTGATTGAATTTTTACCAATAGATTGATAAACAACAGCTTCTTGCATTGTTTCAACCAAAGGAACACAGGTATTCATCTGGGAATCGTTCACCCCCTCTTTCGTTGTAGCGTTGGTAAAATTTTCGAGATAATGTTCTCGAATTTTTTATTTAACGATATAACGTACTCCCAAGATTAATTGCTCAAATAGGGTGAATTGCACAGTGTTGGTCGTAGGTCGCCATGCCTTCCGGGCGACCTACGGCGGCTTCCCAACATAGGTCGCCATGCACTCCGGACGACCTTGTAGGTCGCCATGCACTCCTGGCGACCTTGTAGGTCGCCATGCACTCCTCCTGCTCCTCGTGTGATTCCTCTTGCCCTCGGATGCCCTCGCATAGCTCGTTCGAATGGCATCGGTCGGATGCCCTCGGTCGGATGCCTTCGGATGCCCAACGTGTTGGAACGTGCATGACACATGCAATCTCTCTCATAGCTCGCCGGGAAGACATGGCGACCTAGTAGGTCGCCCGGATGGCATGGCGACCTACGACCAACACTGTAGATTTCACCCTATTTGAGCAATTAATCTGAGGAGTGCATTATCTCGTGAATTAATTTATTCGAGAACGTTATCTCGAGAGTTTAGCCCGTTGCACTGGAGGAAGCAATGTGAGGAGTGAAATTTGGGGGTGAGTTGAGTGAGTGGGTTAGGTGGTTTTTTAGGTGGGATTATCCCCAGATTTTCGGGGATAAGTTTTGAATTTGGTTTTTGCTTATTTGGTGCATATGGGTGTTGGGTCCGGATAAAAATTAGGTTCTAGTATGAGGTTATTACAACATATTAATATTTATCTAAATTTTTTTCACTATTAATAATGTAGATAACAATAAATCAGGACCTAGTTAAATAATCACAATAATAATATATCAGGACCCTGTGTGTATATAAATATATATGGTTTACAAAGATTATATCTACAAATGAACAAAATGGTATATTTCTTTGGCGGGGAGAAACATGAATTTGGAGATTCTTTTGATTTGTTTGGAATATCTGGTTATCCTTTGTGTATCAAAGTAGGTAACTTCCTTGTTTCAGATTAGTAATATTTACAATTAAACCTGACAAGGAGACTTGTCACATTGAATTTTTGGATCACTGTTGTGTACTGTTGTTGTTAGAGGAATACCACAGTGTTTTCTCGCATACTAATATCTTCTCCTTCTCCCCACCTTTTTCGGTATCTTCTTTACGGCAGTTCCACCTCACTGCCTCCGCGATGGCACCGATAGCATCAATAAAGTAGCTGGATTCCCGTATTAGTGCGTAACCCTCCGGACGAAGAATTCGGTCCATTTCCAGCAGCATGTACTTCATTTCACACCTGGGAAAGCAACTATGATTTTCGGAACATGATGCAGCAAACCATTAGATATGATTCAGTGTTCAATTACCTGTGGCTCTCAGCAGTGAAGAGGCCATCGACGTGTAGAAGATCATATGTCCGAGGATATGTTGAAAATGCTTCACACCTGCAAAAGGAGAACAAGTTAATACACCATGTAAGACTTAGCACCTTGAAAGCGATCATAATGCAGTCTCGGAGCAGCATTTGTATGCAAAGGATTGAGAATTCATGTATGTGTTTGAAGTTACCAATCATGATATGTGCCGATGAGGCCTCGGTCGAAGATCACGGGTAGTGTGTCCGCAGCATAGGAAGAGACAACATTCATAACCCATAAGGAATCATTGATGAGAGCTGCAGCTAAGCCCCCTAAATCTGTATTCATGTCCATAACATTTCTTATCTGATCACTCCCAAGTGCAGGGAGTAACTTTTTGTAGTGCTTGGCCCGCACTTTCCACTTGCTGGCATCATGATTTAAAGCAGTGCTACTCCCACCAGGAACATCTGAAATGCGCTCCGGCGTAACTTTCAATCTCTCTGGCCACTTTGGCAGGGAGTACAAGGATGTTCTCTTGAACTTTGGTCTCGGAGCTACAACACATGGGCGTAGCGGAGTGTACCAAGCTGAATCTGGTTCGATACTGTCATCGCACTTGGGAATATCGAGATCCGGGCTAGCGAGCTTCTCATAGCAGCTACTGTCTGAAGATTTCTGCCACACAGCAATATCATTCTGTTTGGCATAGACTGTAAAGCACATTGAAGACAATAGGTCCTGCAACTTCTCGTAAACTTCTCTCTGCTCTTTCTCGGTTGTATTCCATCCTTGATAGCGGTGTTCATAGTTTATGGGAGGACCAGACAAGACCCAGAAACCACCGGGGCGGAGTATGCGGTGAACTTCAAGGAGATAAATTCCACCTGAAAGCAAGGGCATCTAGTTTTAAGACAAGGGAAAGGCCTTTGAACCAATAGAGTGAAAAATCAGATAATGCCTATCAATTACCAAATTCAATCCATGGGATAAGACATCTTGAGCAATGAGCCATATCAAATGAGCTTGAAGGGAAAGGAAGGCGCTGTGTAGAAATGACACCAAGGATTGCAGGTATCCCGCGTTCTAATGCGAACTGGACCTGAGCTTCATGATTATCTCTAGGAGCCAGAGAAATCGTCAGAATCCCGCGGTCTAATAGATCACCTCCCCAACTTGCAACCTGGAAATACATCGATTACAAGAGTGAGGCCGGAGATAGAAGCACGACTAGTTCATGTTTTAGTATGAAAATTCCACAAACTTTCAGGATTGCAACTCACCCCACAACCGGTATCAATTGCAGTTCGAACTGTGCCATCTCTCATTTCAGGGATAAGATCTTGCATCAAGTTTACGTATGCACCCACTCCTTTCGGGAACATAGTACCACCACCAGGAAAAAGGAACTTGTCCCCTTGTTTCTTCAGCCAATTTTGATTAGACTTCTGCTTGTTGATCCAATCATATGGGACGTTTCTGAAAGCAGACCAACATGTTATAACAAAGCAATCGACCCTCTAAACATAAATTATGGCAAAACCAACAAATAATACCTGTACCAACATTGATCCCGACTCTTTGGCCATCTGATTGGTGGTTTGTATCCATCAGGAGGTGGAATCAAACATTCCTTCCTCTCAGACCGCGGAGGGCAGTGGCGTTCCAAGAAGGTAAGCCGACGGTAACCGTACTTCTTCCACCTCTGTATCAACAAACACGAGTTATTGATATAGCATTCTAACAAAGACCCTTAAAATGAAGAATGGTGTGTTACCTTGGGATCGGTGCATGGAGTGTAGTCCTGATATTCAATGCTGCATTCAGGGAAGGAAATGGATTTGATTTGAAGGGGTTGCACTGCAGATTCTTTCGGAGAAGAAACAACCTCGGAAAGCTCTTGGACCACTATCTTCCCTTCGAATATTTTCTTCTCGGAATAGAAGATTCCACCAAGATAGAAAGATAATCCACACAACGCGAAAACCAGTAATGTTGCAGGGACAATCTTGAAACCTTTATCAGGTTGGGGCTGATTTTTTTCATCTTTTTGCTTCATGATTTTCGGAAATAATTAGCTACCTGCAAATTGGAAAGGCACCAATCAACATATATGCTCATGCACAAGTGATGAACATCAAGAAGCAATGCAACATTACACGTGTAAATGGAAACAAGTAATTGAATCCAGTTAAACAAATTGTTCTGCAAAATACTAATAATAAATGATAATAATCATTTCCTTTCATTGCCAGTGCAGGCGAATAAGCTCTTTTTCTTTTGTTTTCTTCCTCACGAGCACTATCAATGAAGAAAAACTATTCAATTAACGAAAAGCAGACAAGCAGATAGTTTCAATGCCAATTGCATACCCTTCAAAACAAAGCATGAAACTTTCTTTCTGCGGCAACAAGAAATGAGAAAGCACAAGGAAGAAAGGAATTTGTTTGACTAGGTACTTATTTGAATTAATTTAGATAATTATCTAATGATAGTAAATTCCAGAGGACGGTGGTGCATGTACAAGAGAGAAGAACCACTAGTTCATGTCTTTTAAATAATGTCGGAAAATGTAAAAACCAAGTCTTTGCCAATGTGACAACTAAAAATAGGAAATCAATACAGAAAACAAGCTTCACCAGAGGAAATTAAAAAAAAAAAACAAGTCTCATCTTTCGAGCCATACGGAAGGCATAAAAATCCCCAAAATCAAAACTTTTCTTTTTATTGACAAAGACAATTTCTCTTCCAATGGAGAAAAACAAGGGATTTGCAGTAAACTCAATGAAATATCTGCTGTAAATTCATAAGTAAAACAGGCACAAAACCGCTCTACTTTATATAAAAGTAAGAAGGATGTGTTTGGTTACACATTTAAATCAAGGAGACATTTTGTATTTATTTTTTTATTGATATTTCACTTAAATTTTTTGTTATTTTCGACTTAAACATAAAATTTAATGTTAATATAGTTTAATGAAGATTATTTAATTATATTTTATAAAAACAATAAAATGATTTATAATATTATAATTTAATGATATACATGCATAACACATATAACAGAATCTAGTTTATAATATAAGAATAGATAGATACACGTATCGACTATACATAGACATCAAACATGGCTCTTGATGGAAGTGCTGTAGCCGCTTTGATCATCATAGTACTTGGACCAAAGCATAACGCCCCCATACTTGGAGGAATTCTTTATAGCTGGGAGAACCTTAGATGTCAGATCATTCACAGGGATGAAACCGCTGCCCGCAGCATCCGGAGATGCCGGTAGTCCGAGGAAAATCTTCGTCGCTGGGATATCTGAAGTCCATTGTTTCCATGCATCTTCGAGGTCGGAAATATCGGCAGATGAGTATTGGCAAGGAGGGTTGTTGTAGAATTGGACCCAAACATAATCGAATAGACCTGTTTTGAGTGCATTTCCGACCCAAGCATCAGGGAACGGGCATTGAGGAGCTGCCGTTAAGTACACTTTCTTCCCTTTCTTGCTATATCCCGAAAGGTACCTTGCGAGATCGTCCCAGTGTTCACCCGTTCCTCCTTCAATGTCGAAGTCGATCCCGTCGAGAACAGCGGGCCCGAGCGGTCGAGACGACGATGTTCCCCCCAAGAAGTTGTTCCAAAGATATGTCGCGACTTGCCTAGCGTCATCAGACGAAGCAAGGGAGTAACTACCGGCACCTCCGCCCAATGAAAGAATGACTTTAACTCCTTTGGCTTGACACGATTTAATATCGGAGCTCAACCCCGTGCAGCCATTGCTATAGGGATCACAATGACCGGCGAGGTTTATCATGGGAGTTTGGCCGTTACCAAATGTTGCCAAGAAGGCTATATTCACGTATTCGTACTTTCCCGTCGCACAAGCCTCGGCTAGGGTGCCCTCGTTACCGTTTTGGCCCCAGTAGATGGAAATTCCACCACCGTTTGAACCAGTTGCTAGCGCCAAAGCAATCAAACAGATGAATGAAACTGATGTTTTAAGCTTGAATGCCATATTCTTTGGGTTTCTTTATTACACGATCGAGTTGTTTCTGTGTTGAAAACCATGGTGGTGAAGCTCCACGTTTATAGCACAAAATTGGCGCTTGTCGTTTGACAATTAATCTGAAATTTTGCAGCAGCAGAGAACGTAGCGTCCCAGTTTTATTTCCTGTCTCAATATTTTAATGCTTGCCGTAAACTTCAGGCAAGCAGTAAGCCAATTTAATGGAAATTCCTATGGCATTCACTATATTATATCCCATAACTAAGAATGTTTAAAATTATTCTATCCGATATATTTAATTCGTTGATCCAATCAATTCAGATAAATTTTATTTGGATATTTTCCTTTAAAACACTCAATTTTTTTATTAGAATATTCAACCCGTTATTTTTCACTGGTCATTAATCAGATCATGGGCCACAGTTTTCAGCCCATTGGACCATTCAGTACCATTTCTTATTTTTCATTTTATATTAAAATTTTCATTCTAATTCTCAAATTATTTTATCGTGACATTCTAAATCATTGATTTTTCAAATTATTTCACATAGAGATTCTAAATTGTTTCTTTTAATTTCAAAACATTTTAAATTTATTTTTTTGTATATATGGTTTAATTCACAAATTAGCCCTCTAAGTATATATGGTTTTTCAGTTTTTGCACTCCAAAACCTTTTCAGTACTATTTTGACCTTTAGACTATACTCATATTTTTAATTTGCACCATGTAATAATTTGCACCAATCAAAATGTCATATGATACTTGATTTTTTTATTGTTTCCTGGCACATGGCATGTTTTCATTGTTTCAAATTGGATTTAAAATGAAATTATTTTATTAAATTTTATTGAATTGTTATAAATTAATAATTAAATATTATTGAAATTTATAAAATGATTATTAAATTTTATCAAATTATTATAAAATAATTATTAAATTATATTAAAATTTTACATTTATTAGTATCGTAGTGATTATTTATAACATTTCAATAAATATAATTATTATTTCATAATTTTTAAAAATTCAATTACTGAAACAATAATTTAAATATAGTTTAATATCTTCTAATTTTTAGAAATTCAATTACTGAAACAATAATTTAAATATAGTTTAATATCTTCTAGGGTAAAGTACACAAATAGTCCTTCGACTATAAGGTGATGCTTTGTTGAATCCCTTAACTATTAAAAGTTACAAAACGGCTCATTGACTATAGGATGTTGTTTTGTTGAGTCATCTAACTATTAAAAGTTACAAAATGGTTACTCGACTCATCGTATGTTCCGAACTCTTATTTTTCGTTAAAAATTTGACAATCGTCTGAGTTGTACATTAACATGTTGACTAAGATATAATAAAATAATATTTTAATAATACCTACTAGCACCGTTATTGCTTTCAAGCATGAGTTCGACAATATAATATAAATGGAGAATTGATACATAAAATACAACTCAAACAATTATATGATTAGATTTTATCACATTTCAATCAACAGGATAATATCCAGCTCATACGACCATCGATTTTTATGACAAAAAAGGACGAGCTTAGAACATATGAATAATTCGATGATCATTTTATAACTTTTAATAATCAAATGACTCAATAAAATAATTTTCTTAATTAAATAATTATTTTATAATTTTTAATAATTAGATGATCCAACAAAATAATATCATATAATATAACCAGGTAACATTTGTATACTTTACCTATCTTCTAATATACTTTTTAAAACACAGAAATTTATTTGTTTTTTCGTTATTTACACATCACGCTTTAAACAAACAAAAGATTTTTTTTCAAAGGAAACATAAGAATTGTTGGAAAAGGAAGAGAACCGTCTAAAATGCAACGATTCCCATCGTAGCGTGCATTCTTGTTTCTTCTTCTAAGTTCTGACTTTAGAAAGCTCTCCGATCACCGGATAAATAATTCTGGTGACCGGTACGCATACAGAAGTCATCTAGCTTCCGTTGATTTACGCCTTTGAATTTATGGATTCACAAGAACTCCCCGATAATGGTAACAAGGGTTTCCTCTACATGTTACTTCGAATTGCTTTTGCCCTTCTTTTCCCTATCTTCGCTTTCTTTTCCTTATCATTTCTAGTCGGGGTTCTTGCCATTTTCATGGAGGAATTATCAGTTTCAGATCCGATTTTCATGCCCACACAGTGCAAGATAGTTTCAAGCAGTAAATTTCTCTCCATTTCTCTTGCTGATCAAACGTTGAAATTTCCTTCTGTAACATTTGAGTATGTTTTAATTATTATTTATTTAATTTTAGCAAAATTTTATGGTTTAGCTGGCAAATTTACTTATGACATCGTTATTTAATGTATTTTGACTTATGGATTTTTTCCCTTGTAATATCTAGGTAATGCAAGCTTGCTTCTTATGGTATATTTTTTTCCTTGGAAATTTGAAATCAGGTGTGGATATTAGGTCGTCGAAGGTTTGTGAGCTTGGACTATTGAATTATAAAGCAAAACATGTATTTTATCATTCCATAAACAACAAATTTAAATGTCGACATGATTACTACTGGAGTTCAGTGTTCAAGGTAATAATATCTTATCCGATTTAAGTCATGAGCTCCTTTTCAGTAATAATTTTGGAAACTATGGATTTTTTAGCTTTGGCAAATATGCATAGTCAACTTCATTTTTCAATGATTATAGATTGGATGGTTTTTAATTTGCATTTCCATCTTAATGTTTTCCTATGTTCATATTTCAATTGGTTTTTAGATTTTCCAATTCTTGGTGTGCTAATTGTTTAGTTTATTATAATATTACTATGTAGGAAGGCAACAATTTTAGGTAGTCTATACTATGTAGGAAGGCAACAATTTTAGGTAGTCTAAACTATGTCCTTTTACATATTTTCTGCTTAAATATGGCAGGTAGAGTACAGAGACCGTTCTTTAGGTCAGATGCAATTTGCCCTGGCAGAGGCACCCAATGAAGCCCTTCCACTAAGTTGCAGACCTAACTTTGGTGCTGCTTGGTTAACCAAAGATAAGTTCAAGGTAATGCTTTTCAAGTTTCTATTGGTACTCATGACGAAGCACAGACCTGATTCTTCCTTTTAAAAGTGCAATTTTATATAATTGAACCTGTACTCCTTTTCAGATAAATGAAACCTATGACTGCTGGTACATATCTGGTAATCCTACAGTAAAGTTGTATAATGATGGTTTTTTCAGTTGCCAAGCTAAAGATCCATCTATAATCGAGATGATGAAGCGATATTTTATCATGTGAGTTTAACTCGTAAAATTTTCCCATTTAAAATTTATTTTATATGGTTGCTGGAAGTTGTTTTCATTGTTTTATTGTCCCATCAACAATGTCCTTACTCTGTTGTTAATTAGGTTGGGATTGAATAGGACCCTTTGATTTATTTGTACTCTGCTACATTTTGGTGAACTTGGGTTTCCAGTTAGTTTTTATGCCCTTGGAATTACTAATGAGGTTCATTTTGTTCCAAACATAGGTTACAAACTTGCATCATTAAGAGTAAAAGGGCTTTCCTCTGTAAATTTTGAGGGTTTGGTAATTATGATGGTATAGAATTTTTTTCTGGTAATTTATGCATATAGGAAAGTTTGTATTAGGTTGTTTTAAGCAGTATTCTAGGAACAGAACAGCAGCAAAGTGCTTTCTGAATTTTGGAAAGAGAATGAAAGTACATTTGAGAAGCCTAAGAAGGTAATAAAATCTAGTGAAAGGGAGAAAGGAAGAGAAAGAAGCTAGGGGATTCTAGTGAAGCAGATGGGAAAGCTGAACTAAGAGGGCATAATTTCTGTAACATTAGGCTGCAGTTAACATTTTGCTAAGAATGATGCAAAAATTTCTATGCCTTCTTTTTTGTTTTTAATTTAGTGTTAGTTAACCGCTTTTGATCATTCCTTTTTCGGTCGTAGTTGCAAATAGTTGAGTGGGACATTTTAAATGAGTCTGTTTTAATGGTTCATGTGTTAATTAATGCTATTTTCATCAATTTAATTATTGGTTGTTATGATGCCAACAGATCCACAAAGATTTTACAGTCTTGGTTTTCCAATGAGGGGAACGCCGGATATTTGGGGCAGGAAATCATAGCTGGTATTGTCACTGGATTTTCAACATCTATAATCACTATCAGCTTCGTTAAAATCCTAAAACATATGAAGTCCCGGTTGCCTCAAGCCATTAACACAGTCCATATAAAGCGTGTTTGTTTTCTGTCGGTGTACTTTTCTGTTATGGGTTGGTTGGCATCCCACTATTGGAGGAGCCTCAGTATCCCTTTTATTAAAGCTTTTAACTACTAGGCATCACCTTTTTTCAATGTGCTATTTTCTATTTCCCCTGGGAGTTGGTTTACATCGACTCATGCGCCTTTCCTCGGGGAAAGATATATGCTTGAGTGGTTACCCGATGTTTTGGGACAACAGTTGGATGTAGCTTATCAAGAGTACAAGGAGCAGAGAGAGATGAAATCGCCGTACTCATATTCCGGTGTATAATATGTATCACTATAGCGGTGAGATTCCGAGTTTCACAGTGCATGTTCTATTTCGATGCTTTCAGTGTTCTGTATGGAAGAGTCTTATGAACAAAATCCCTTATTTTTTTTCTTGGTTGAGTGTGATAATTGGAGGTAGTACCAAATTATGTAACGTATTAGGCGTTTCAAGCTAAAAGCTGAAACCATTATTTTACTTCAGCAAACCATTGCCCTTTTGTTGGACGGGTCTATTTTTTTCAAGTACGTAAACATAATTAAATCAGTCTCTTTTTTTTCAAATAATGTAAGATTCATGCACAATACTAATAAATTTTATGATTATTTAGATTTGACATGAGCTATAGTCTTCATTTCATGCAAAACGCTTCTAAAACTTAAATTTATCCAAAGATTGATATTAAATGATTGATTGTATTGTTAAATTTTCAAGAGGAGTTTACTTAAATGAAATTTATATAAAACGAAAAGCTTTATTTAATTATACTAAAATAATATGGTCCTTCTGTTACACCAAATTTGAACAAAAATAATATAGTAAAAATCTAGGTGGTTAACTTTTTGATGAATCTGTTTTTGGCCTAATTTCATTTTTTTTTCATCTTAATATCGGTCATTGACGGGTCCAGCGGTTACAGTATCGATTATGTTGAAGGAAGGGAGAAGAAGAAACCGTCGCCTTACCTTCCAATCTTGTACAGTTCCACCCTGGTGTACACTTTCAGTTCCATGTTGCCAACTCTTACCTTCTCCTAATTGAAAAACAGACTATTTTGGTAGAATTTCAGTTTTAGCTGCTCAATTTGTTATGGATTTTGGTAATTCTTCTTTTTATGTGTTTAAATCACTCTTCATTTGGTTCATCTTGTTATTCTGCTTGCTTTATTTCATCTTCTAAACCATCCATTTCTTGTTTGGAATCATGAAACCCTCTTCTTCTTCCAAACTCACTGCTGCACCGTCACCCTTTAGAGAATACGATTGATCATCTTCCATTTTACGTTACTCTTTTTTTATAGAGAAAATTTTAGTTCTATTCTTCGGTTTTGCTCATAACAATGCCGTGCACAGTATATTGCGTACCGGCAACATCTATGGTTTCTCAAACATTTGCTGATCACTGCTTTATCAGGAAAGCCTTTGAACTTGTTTATTTCTTTTCCGTTTTTTTCTTTATTAGGTAATTTCTTGATAATTGAACCTTTTTTATCTTCTCCTATACCTAGTAATTTAATTTGCTAAGTGGGTTTACTATTATTTGACTGTTTGGTATCTCTTAATCAGTGGGGGGAAATAGAATTTTACGGTACTAGTATAATTATAGAGAGACAAAAGAAGCATTATCCGTTTATTCTTTACGTTCAACAGGTATGATCACCACCATCCTGATCACAAGGACTTGAGATGGAGGAGTAGGACCTCTGCTGCTACTTCAACTTCTGCTTCTGCTTACCCTCTCTTTTCCAATCCCAATGACTTCTTCTCGTCACAAATTTGACCAGGAGGTTGATCTTGATCTATATATAATATATGCATATATGTTGTTCATCCACTCTGGATATCTGCATCACCATGTTAATCATCTTCTTGTTACATTTTCTTTTTCTAATATTCTGTTGAATTCGAATTACAATGTCACCATCTCTAAAGACTGCAAGGGACAACTTCACTCGGGAGATCTCCTTTCACTCCAAAGATGAAGACGTCTCACTGGCTAAGGTACATATATAATGAGTGACGCCTACCTGCCTACATCATCTTATTTTTTGTTTGACAAATGATGCTATCCAATAGATAATTTATATGGCCTTCACTAATTCATTTGCCGTGTCATTGCTTCGTTCATGCTCTTGAAACGTATGTTGGAAGTTTTGTTTTGCTTGATATTTTTTTTGTGTAGTCTTTGCTTTATGTTGCAGCTGAAGACGAGTCATTTATGGCTTACAACCGAGAAATGGACACTCGTTCCCTTCTCAATGAAAGGATGAATGTTTCTTCCTCATCTGATACCAAAGAGTGGGACACTGTGGACCAAATGCCTTTGGGTGGAAAGACCTTATCTGAATGGCTGAGTGAGTTAGATGCAATTACTAAAGAAGTCGAGGCGGAGCCAGTTTCAAGGGACATAGGCTGCCATCTGGTTGAAGTTTTGCAGGCAGTCAATTTAGTTCTTTTTGAGTTGAGAGGCTTTAAAAGATCCCCTGCTCTTGTAGACTCTAAGCATTCATACTTACACAAAGTGCTGAGCTCTGGATGTGGCAGTGGTAACTTTCATGCAATAATCCCCATAATTTTGATCTAGTGGCACTGCAATGGTTTTTCCTATTATAACATTTACTTCCTAACCATTTTTCGGCAGTTTAGGCAGTCTGATAATATGATTTTATTAATTGCAGCAACTTTGGTTAGCATAATTTACATTGAAGTTTGTCCGCGACTTGGTCTATCTATCTTGGGCTCTCGTGTTGGGGAAGATTTTCTGATATGGCCGCAGACAGCATACCCAGAGCCCAGAGGTTACTTCAATCTTGAAAATTCATCTTTGCATTTTACTTTAATGCTGCGTGATTCTTAGTTCAGATTGGTGGTGATGCATCGTTTGTCGTCTCATCAATCCCATGGTTAAGTTTGTGCTTAGAGACACGGCAAGAAACTCCCTTTTTCTTCTGACTTCTGACCTAACTTGAAGGTGTGTGGAGGACTCGATATCAATGGCATCGGATTTAACTGGTACATCACTTTTAGGGCTTGAGATAGCCACAAACCGTGATATTATTGGGATCTCTCTAGCCAATTTAATTGTAAGCTCTAATCCTTATAGTCAACTGTTTGTTCTTAAATCGGTTTCTTGTAAGCTGTACATGCCTCAAAGTATACTTATGAAATAACAAACTTCAAAAAAAAATTGCAGAGGCTTCACTAGAAACGTGCTTCGAGATCAAATCCTGGTTTGATGCTGACTTCTCCCCTGAGGAAGGTTCATAACACTGATGACAAACGTAACCAAATCGATAAATTAAGTGTCCCTTTGTCGCGGCCTCAAGATCTTAGGTAAATTCTAATTATCTTTATTAATTTTGTAATATAACTTTCTGATGATTTCCTGTATAGTTGAGCGAACCCCCCCCCCCGGGGGCTGAAACGAAGTGTTTGGACGGTTTATGGAATACAAGTTTAAAAATTATGGTTGCTCGAATCAAATTTAATTTTTTATAATGGAAAATAAGTGCTCTATTTTGAATAATGAAACTAAATTATAAATATTATATAAGAATTATAATTGTTTTAATTTATATGAAAAAATTAACTTTTTAAGAATATTTATATAAAAGACTTTAAAATTTATCAAATAACTATAGAAAAATATAAAAAAACAAATATATTTTATAAAATAAAGTAAAAAAGAAGAAGCTTGAACAGAAAATTAATATGGAAAAACTGAGATCCAATTAATGCACTCAAGGCTTAAAGATGAGATGTGTATTTGGCCTCATATGGTTGAGCTCATGAATCAATGTATAGTATGGTGAAGGATATTTGTAAATTTAGTATTCAATTAGCAATATTGGAAGAGAAGAGTCGGGTTTACTTATTGATATTGTAAATTTGAGATTTTGCAGAGAGTACGTTGATACGTGGGAATGGTAAACATTAGATATATGTGCATGTAGGATGAATTGAATAACATCATCCTTTGAGATTTTTAAATTTCTATAAATTTTAGATATATTTCTTTATTTTCTATCGATGATATATTTTCGTTCTTAAAACATTTAAGTTCTTTTTTTTAAATATTATAAGTTCGATTCCTAACATAAAATTTTACATATATAGATTCATGTTTTCAGGTTAGCTATCATGGCTTCAGAAAGATTGTTGATTCTGTATTATAATAGGTATGATTTCTGAAACTTAAGAAAAGGAGGTGTGTTTTGGAGGTTGATGGAATGTTAAAATAAATGTCACTTCAGGGAATATGGTAAGACAGTGCCAGAGCTTAGCATTTGCTCCGGAAGAAGAGGCAGAGATTCTCCAACCATTTGTCAACAAATTACATCTAATGCGACTGGAATCATCATGGGAGTCTTTGGGGAACACGCCTCCATTGACCATCAAATGATTTTTAATATACCTTTTAATCAACATGATGTTGCAGTAGCCAGTATGTCCTTTAAATTAACTATCCAGAACTATAAATATTATTACTAATACTAACTATATTTAATAAAGTAAAATAATATAGTTTTTAAAATTTTGAACCCATTCATATTACTTGAACAAAACTTTTATTTATTTAAATAATTAAGAATACAATACGAACCAAACGACCTCGATAGTAAATGAAATGTTGTTACTAATTTTTCCTTGTGTCGCTAACACATTTTATTTTTATTTGACCGCGGCAGCAACAACTTTAGTGTTAGTTGTCAGCCGCTTATACTTCTTATTTTTCACTTATTTTTTTATGTCTTTTTTTTAATAATTATGCATTCATGGTACGTTTTTCTATGATTTATGGCATGTTTTTTTTTGTCACGTTTTCGGTCATTCTTTTCGTTTTAATTTTCTTAGGGTTGAATTTGATGACGTCTCAACTGATCAAGATTATATTTATTTGTTATTATAATTATTGTTCCTGCTTTGGACCATCGAATTGGATTGAGATACGTGGTTTTGTTCATGAATATTTTATCACGTCGCTCGATTCTGATAAGTGATTTGTCAGTGGTATTTCAATAGTTTTCATCTCCTTTTTATGATCATTTGCCGATGCAATCAATTATATTTGTATTTATCATTGTTTGAGTATTTAGGTTGGTTTTAACATTTTCTTATATGGTTCTTGTATGATCTCAAGTGTCTAGTTTCTTGTAATAATTATAGAAAAATATTTTAATTATGTGTTTAATTTACTATTATGGTTAAGCATTCGTTATAATTATGTATATTTCTTCTAATTAAACTAACAGCTTTTATTAAAAAATTAAGAATAAATATAAATGTTAATCATTTAATTTATCTTTGCGGTATACAAGATATATTTATGATTTATTAACCAATTTAAATAATCAATTATATATGGTATGTTAATCACTCAAAAACAAATAATATATTAATAATGCATAAAAATTGTATAGTTTATTCCCCCTGTCTCCCCTCTATTTTTTCTCCAACATCTCCCTTCTAATTTTTATAGAAGTATATATTAAATATTTTTTAAAAATGCAATATCGTATATATATTTTGTTAAAATATAAGTATGAAATGCTTGGTTATCCCCATTTCAAACATTGATTGAAAACTACAATCCGAGAAACGAAAACATTGGTTTATGGCGTCTGTTGGTGGCAGATGAAGTTAAAATGAGAATGAATAAACCTTTTTAGCCATCATCAACATCAATCATGTCTCCATCAGCTTATTTGTTGTTCATGCAACTATCAAGTGTCCTCCTCATATTGGAAGTCAATGAGGGTAAAATGGAACATGCACTTGTTGTTTTGACGAAAAAAATTCTTAAATTATATAATTTTTATTCTAAATTCATTGTTAATCTTTAGATTATTCTATATCAATTCTAAATCATCGATTATTTCTCATCTTCCGTTAACGTATTGTTTTAAAGGTTTTGAAAATTGAATATAGAAAACAAGACCTTCAAAAATATATTGTTTTTTAACTAATAGAATCAACGATACATTGACAAAATTATGAAAATGGAATGGCGACGATGGTTTGAGGATTGATATAGAAATTTTAAAGCCATAAGGACTAATTTAGAATTGAGACATAGTTTAGGGACTTATATATAATATTTTAAAATTTAGAGACTAATATAGAATTAAGTTTATAGTTTGGGGACCTTCTATGCAATATATTTGAAGGAAAAAAAAAGGCACCTACCTCCCTAACAGAACCTCCGTATAAACCCTTCCATGTGCTCTTGAGGATCGGAGCCCTGAGTTGACTCTCCAAGCAAACTATGTCTAGTACTATTGATTTTCACATGCATAATAATCCCTCAAAGTAACAACGACGATTCCAAATTGACGCTGCTCTATATATGTGTTAGTGTAACAGAGAAGGCGCTGTAACAGATGGCCTGCGCTTTCAGTTGCAGGCCTTTACTCATTTCTTCACCCTTTGCCTTCCCTTCTTCATCATCGTCTCCCTCAATCCGTGCTCCTACAACCCCATTTCTCTTTTCCCTCTTACCCGTCAAATCGTCTTCTAGACCAATTATTAATATTGTTACTGCTAACTGTGGGTCCTTCCCTTTGCTCTCTGTTGGTGGCGGATGTGACGGCGGAAACAACAACAACGATGGTCTGTTTTGGTCCGATTCTTGGTGGTGGGACGACGATTCTTCATCTTCATCTTCTTATCCTTTTCTTTTGTTCCTTTCTTCGCTCCTTGCTTGTTTCTGCCATTCCCAATTATCTCCCGCCCTCGCGAGAACCAATAGGGATACAGAGGAAGATGGCATCGTTTGGGAAGTGAGTGGGGGAAAGTGGACTAAGCTCATTCCTGATTTCTCAGATGATGCATTTGTCGTTTCGAATGAGGTTGTAAATTTAACAAAATCGATGTCGCTTTCAACTCTTTGGGGGCAATGCAGAGACCTTGTGATGCGGTTGTTGCTCCCCGAAGGTTTCCCCGACAGCGTTACCAGTGATTATCTTGATTACGCTCTTTGGAGAGGCGTGCAGGGCGTTGCTAGCCAAATGAGTGGCGTTCTTGCCACCCAAGTAAAAATTTGTCTTAATTACTTGCTCTTATTTTCTGATTTAGGAATTTTATAGAACATCTGGTGCTCACTTTTGTTGGCTATTATTCAGGCATTGCTCTATGCTGTCGGGTTGGGGAAAGGGGCTATTCCCACGGCTGCTGCTATCAATTGGGTGTTAAAGGATGGAATTGGGTATTTGAGTAAAATCATGTTGTCCAAATATGGAAGACATTTCGATGTCAATCCGAAAGGCTGGAGGTTGTTTGCCGATCTCCTTGAAAATGCTGCCTTTGGATTGGAAATCTTGACCCCTGTTTTTCCCCATCTCTTTGTTCTTATTGGTGCTGTTGCTGGGGCTGGAAGATCAGCAGCTGCTCTCATCCAGGTATTCAAATTAAGTATAGTGCTGTTCTTATTGCCTTTATCTCTCACGTTAATCAATCACTGGTCGGTTCCAGGCTGCTACTAGAAGTTGTTTCAATGCCGGTTTCGCTGCTCAAAGGAACTTTGCTGAGGTAAAGTTTGTTCTTTTATGTGGTATCCAGTATGGTATGTAGTTAATACCCCAAATGTCTTCCTTTAACCATAATCAAATTGGTTTCTGCATGATAGTGGCATTTCTAATGATATTGTGACTTAGTCTTTACTAAAGTTAATTATTTTTTTTAGGTAATTGCAAAGGGTGAAGCTCAGGGAATGGTGAGCAAGTCGATTGGAATTGCTCTTGGTATAGCATTGGCTAACTGTTTTGGCTCATCTACATCTTTTGCCCTTGCTTCATTCGGTGTGGTTACTTGGATCCATATGTACTGCAATCTGAAATCATATCAATCTATTCAACTGAGGACTTTAAATCCCTATCGTGCGAGTAATGTATCTCTGCTAACATTGTTGTTACAAGAGAGTTCTAGTTCATTAAGTAATGGAAATCTTATTGTTTTAACAGGTTTGGTTTTCAGTGAATATCTGCTGAGTGGTCAAGCACCTTCGATCAAAGAGGTCAATGCCGAGGAGCCGCTTTTTCCAGATGTGCCATTCCTGAATTTTATTTCCGCAAACAGAGTGAGTTAATGACTTTCTCAAAGCTCTCTCAGAAGATGGTTACCAATTGACAAAGTATGAAAGTCTGGATTGATTGATTAGGGTCAATACTTAAGGAGGTCTTTGAGATTAATTTTTTCTAGGTTGCCTCTGTTATATTGAATGCATATCCTGGTTGAGGAATTAGTAGAAACATGAATAACCTAAGAGATTAAGAAGGTTAAAACTTCAAAAAATTCTTCTTTGTGATTAAACTAATTTTCTTGTTAAATTAAAAGAAAACTTTTTTTTTGGATAAGTCATGTATCATATATTATCAAAGAAAGCAGCCTAGCTGCTATAAACAACCAGCCAACCACAACAGCCTACAAAACCAACACAAACCAGACCACAAAACTGATTCGCCAGAATCACAGTCAAACCAGCAAAACTAAACAGATTGGTCCATAAAAAATGCCCCAATCAGCACACAAAATCGGATTATCACTTCTATCAATAAAACACTTAATTTAATTCGAACCATCTCCTTTACACATTCAACAATGACAGAAACCGATCGTCTTGGTACTCCAAACAAACGATGATTATGCTCCTCCCAAATGTAATAAAAGAACCCCACCCAAGCCAACTTTAGGATACGAACAAGAAGAGAACCACCTTTTAAGTTTTCCATTACCCACAGGAGCTGATCATCCCAACTCAATCCTCTAAATTGCAGCCGGCAAGCACACAAAATTCCCCATCCAACCTCCCTTGAGAAGGGGCACTCAGTGAACAAGTGGCACCTAGACTCCATGGCAGCATCACAAAGACCACACAAGACATCAGTGGCTATCCCAAATCAAGCCAATCTATCTTTTGTAGGCAACCTGTCTAAGATGGCCATCCAAGCTATAATGGAATGCTTGGGCACATGGGAAGGGAACCAAAGAAGCCCATGCCACTTCACTTTTTCCTTTACCATTCTAGTATTGTCCCAAATCCACCTACAATCAACCTTAGCCCAATTCAAACCAGAATTGAACAAGGCATTAGCTTCACCTCTCAATTTCAGCAATTTTCTAAAAATCCAGCTGAAATGAGCCTTGCCTTCCACCTCCCCATTTCAAATCAGTTGCAATTAAAAGAAACTTGTTGGAAGGGTTTTGTTTATAACTCTGGTTCTCTAGAACATGAACTTGTACCAGGGTTCAGGACTTCTAGTCCTTGATGGTTGCATTCAGCTCAAGCATGGGATGTGATAATCTATCTTATCAATTCAACTTTCTAAAATCTGCCTGAGTAGTAAACTGGTCAATGCACCAGTAAAACAACCAATTATAACATCTTTTTCTAGAGTTGGTTGTAATAGTTTCGGTACAAAATTTAAGAGATTCTGTGATGAATTCCCATTTTCAGGAACGGTCAGATGCACTATCTTCTGAAGCGAAGCAGGCAGCTTCTGAAATCAGGGTTCGGTTGCAATTGGGATCAAAACTCAGTGATATTGTCAACAACAAGGAGGATACACTGGCTCTATTCAGTCTGTATAAAGATGAAGGCTACATTCTGACTGAACAAGAAGGAAAATTCTGTGTAAGTGAATAACCATTGTGGCTTTTTAGCCTCTATTCGTTCATTCCACAAAGGCAACATACTTTACTTATTCTTGAAAGACTCAGCTCGGTTTCTTCTCGTCTCTCCTATAGTAGTCTTCTTATTTGTTACTGTTACAAATTCCTGAACACAACTTAGTCTTTAAATTTGTTGAATACTTTGCCATCAAAATAGGACGACCTCAATGATGATGTAATAGAAACACCGATACTAATTCAAGATTCTTTTTTGGTAAACCAGGTAGTGCTTAAAGAAAGTTGTTCACCACAAGATATGCTGAAGTCACTTTTCCAGGTAAATTACTTGTACTGGTTGGAGAGGAATGCAGGAATCAAATCAAGGGGTGCCTCCAATGACTGCAGACAAGGGGGTAGGCTACAAATCTCTCTCGAGTACGTGCAAAGGGAATTCAACCATGTTAAAATCGACAGTGAATCAGTGGGATGGGCAACTGATGGACTTATTGCAAGGCCTTTACCACACAGAATTCGACCTGTTCACGTGGCCGTATGAATCGACTGCTTCTTGCTGTTGATGTGAGAAAGGATAACGGGAATGCTTTGATCTTTTTTTGGCTTAAGAAAAGTAGGAATAATTGCATTTCTAAGTTCTAACAAATTTTGTAAGAAGTTGCTTTTACAAGGCAGTGGGACAAAGACAACAAGGTATTACTCTTTAGTGAAATCTTTTCTTGTGCGCATCGAATCTTTATGTTCCTTTTGGTATCTTGTTTAAAATTCAGATTTTGCTTATAGCAAGTAGTAACATGAGATGTAAATTATAAACATCATTGGTAAAAGTTGATAGCTAGTGTTTACATTTCCTTTTTGTAATTAACTGAGCTGATGCATGTACAAAAATGTTACCATCACTCCATTTTCTCCTCAAAACTCTTCAATTTTTCTCAATACTAGGGATGTTCAAATAGTCATTTCGGTTAATATCCGAATCGAATAATCATTAGTCAAACATCTAAAGTTGTTAACCATTAGCTGACTCGAAATATTTGCTAAATCAATTATCTGAATCTAATTAAATGTGGTTAATTCTGTCAGTTTTTGAATTAACTGTTTTTTTTAAATATTCAAATAGCAAAAATTCAAATTTAAGTAATAATTTTAATTAAAAAAACATTGCAGGGACTAATTTTTTATTGTATATAAATAAATCATTGGTGTCCTGGCAAACTGCATTGCTTCTAACAAATTAAGACAAAGGTGGAAGAAACTAAATTTATAGCAATTTGAAGATGGATTTAACGAATTTCTCGTTTGCTACCCGTCAAATTTTACAAATGCCGAGTGACACTACTTGATCTTAGTAAATGTACCTGTAAGAAAAGAGCTCATGGAAACTTTACACCACCACTGGATTACAAAGTTAATCAATGGGCTTCGCTGATAAAACGGAAGAGAAAAGGTGTCCTCTGTGGAGCGGGTTCTTGTTAATGGCTGCATCTTTGTGAACGAGAGGTTCAGAAGGCCGAACGACAAGAGGCACCATACCCGTAGCAGTGTGCTTTTCTTTGTAGGACGCCCAAGTGACCATATATAGACCAGCAATAATTAGAAAACCTCCAAGCACACTGTTGCCATGACAAAAGAAACCAAACCAAGTTCAAACTAGCTTTTTATAAATGAAGTGAGCAAAAACAAGGGTTATTTTTGTATTTGATGAGAAATTATTAAGTTCTACTTTGTACAAGAAGAGAGAAATAGAACCTTCCCAAAAAAATTGGACTGCCAAGGAAAACTCTCGACAGAAATGCTGATGCTGCAGGTTGAAGTGGATTATAAAGAGCAACTAAAGCAGGCCCCAAGATCTTATTCGACCACGTCAGGAGTCCATAGTTAAGAGCAGATGCAACAATTCCCTGAAGAAAACCGAAATTCTCATAGCTTTAGGCTTATGGTTTACCTATTTGGTAGGCAGCTAAGTTTTTAAGATACTTTAAGGACATCACATTATTGTTACTTTCATGGAGCCTTTATTCTAAAACGTTTCCCCTTTTTCCAGGACCATAAGGGAATTCCAGCATCCTTGATAGGTAGCTTCTAAAATCCTTATTACAGACCCCGAGGGCGACAAAGATCTGTTTAACCATACAAAATGTTTACCCATTTTTCCTGTTCTACCAAAAGTTTCTCACACTTTCCTTGTTTACATTTACGTCCACTTACTTATTCTCTCTTAAGAAATCGTGCACTTCCTGATGCTTTTTCTGGGAATTGCCTTGCTACCTTCAACGGGAACTTTTCTGAAACTTACGTTCCTAAATGTGTGTAGATGAGGAGGAAACTATAGGCCAAACTAAAGAACATGTATTCTCGGGGGGGATATCAAGGGAGTTGCTATATATACCATTTATATTTCTTATTCCAATTAAATCTATTAAGTTTCTTGTTCCAACACCTATTAGACAAATCGATTCAAGTTAGCACACCAGTTCATAAATAGATGGTTACATGAATTCATTTCCTTCACTTCAACCTGCTACAATGACAAAAGTTTGAAAACTGAGCCTCAGTCTTGATCACTAAACTAGAATATCAAGCATTGACCCGGAAGATTTTAAAACAAGCCCACGATAACATTTGAAACTAAGATAAAGCAGCAACTTTGATCGCCAGACTTTCAGTAAGAGGAATTGCAAAACTTTTTAAGAATGGAGATAATACAAAGTCCACAAGAAACTTACAGCGTATAAGACGGCAAAAAGCTCAGACTGTGTCAGCCTCCAGTCTGTTGACTCGTTGGTCATAAAAAGGGATATTGTTATCATCAATACAGCACCAAAAAAATAGGAAAAGGCTGTGACAGAAATGTTTGCAGGATACTTGGCTAAAACTGGAGCCTGGAATTGTTGAAAGAAAATGAGCCTTAGTTCAAAACTAGATTACAAGAAAATACACGTGAAGTTCAAATCACTAGTAAATATGCATGCGATAAAATAAGTCAGCACTATTTTAAGGAAATTCAATGTAGATGTTAATGATAAGAATACATAAGAATCACTTTCGTTAGTCCTTGTGGAAAGTAGACCACTGAGCAAAAGCAAACAGTAGATACTGCTTACATGCATAGTGTTGCTGAAGCAAGACAACATTAAAAAGCACCAGAGATAGTTACTCCAAGATATGATTAAAATTTAAAACAGGCATTGCAAAGGACCTAATTATATGATCATAACAGATAGGATCAGATCATAAAAAAACTAATGAGACACAGATCAAAGACAAGAATGGCATATCAAACCTCAAATTATATTCATGGCCACACTGGCTGTTGTCCATTTATTGTCCTAAACAGAGATTTCTGTTTATTTCCTCCAGAAAATAAGATATGGAACTTAATCTAATACAAGCAAAGAACATTTACGTGGAAAAACTTTGCACTGATACATTCTGATTAATAATTATTGAAAAATTCCTGTAAGAAGACTAGCTAACAGAAGTGGTAAAAGAGAAAATAGTTAATAATCGTCCAAAAATCAACCATATGATTATGAAGGCATACCTGAATGGCCAGGAAAGAAGCCATGCACATACAGTTCCCTATCAAGCATAGAACTCCAATATGCCAATATTCAAGACCAAACTCCAGAAAACTAGACACGAGCCATCCAGAAGGTTCTGGTTGACCCCTGGCACTTATGTCATAATGAGAAAAGTCCGCATCTTTCTGTCCAATTAAAGCTGGACCACAAAACAGAACCATTAATATTGCACCGGAAACACAGATTAGTGTACCTCCAACTTTTGCTTGACCTTCGGTTTTGAGCAAATTCACTCTTTCCGTACTGCATGTAGAGAGTTTCATACAAAATATGGCAAAAGTAACAGACATCAAAATGCATGCATCTAATTTAAAAGAAATGTAGAAATGAACCGATATCATAAACCGATAAAAGTATAAACTTGTTGCCATTACCCCATCATTACAGCCAAGAGAAAGGTGAAGACTGGAATCGAAGGCTGTATGGCAGCAGCATAAGTTGGATTTGTGTAGCTCAGACCAATGAGAAATAAAAGCTGGTTGCCGAATATCCTATTCCAGTTAATCAGAACCAGATAAGTTGGCTAGCAGGAAGTTTTACTAGGCACAAACAGAGACAATGACGTATCCAATTAGGGCTGTTTAGAAAATAACTACTCACCCAGTTAACCCAAGAAAGAAGAAAGAAAGGAGAAGGCGTTTAGTCATAGGAGGCCGAACCCTTCTGCAGGAAAGAGGAACAAAATGACCCCAGAAGTTATATTTCCGATTATGGCTTCCAGGAAACCAAAAATAACTAAGGCAGTCAATTTAGCCTACGCATACAATGTAGATGATCTTAATGAGAAAAAATCAGTGGATCATCTTAATACAACTGAGTTAAAACAGATCATCGAAATCTCAAATTGTGAATCCAATCCAAACCAAACAATAGAACAAAAAACGAAGAGAAGTGAAATGATCCAATTTAAAAACACAATTGATTTAAAAAAACATAAGCAGAGTCAACCCAGAAAAAAAAACAAAAAGGACGTACTTTTCACGAACATAGGCGATGGGGGCAAGAAGAGCGAGAGCAAGAAGATCACGGAAGACGCAGAAGACAAGCTGGTTAACACCAACATTGAGGGCTACTTTGGTAATTACATGATAACCTCCATTGCAGAGTTGCACCAACGCCATGGAGATATGGGCTTTCCGTGCATCTCTCTCGGCCACTCCTCCAATCATCCCTGTCATATCCGTGCTTCACAATAAAAGGGGTATGTAGATGAGAAATTCAGGTGGATTTGGGATGAGAGTTGTGAGGAAATTGATGCAACAGACAACCTTAGTGTTGGTGGATTTAATTCATAAAAGGTAGAAATAAAAAAGAATGGGCGTGCTTTAATTTGAAAGGAAACCAAATTAAGGCGCTGTCTTTGGAATTAATGTTGCTTTGGCCCGCTCCTGGGTTTTTTTTTCATTTATTTTGATCTTCCTTCATCTTCAATCTTGATGCCTAAGCCTAATACCTTTTTGTTTGGTATTTTGGATTAAGCTTCATGTAATTTTGAATAGGAAAAAAAAGAATCTTAAAATATTTAATTAACTCAAATATTTAATTAACTAACTAATTAATAATCAACACTTAACAACGTAATATTTTCATATATACTTAATTATTAACATTAAATTATATTTTTGATGATGTAATATTCATCACGTCATTAATTAGATATATGTGAAAATATTATATCTATAATAAATATTGATTATAAATTAATTAATATTTTTTCATAAAATGTTTTAATCAAAATAGAAATATTAAGATTTAAAATATTTTAAAAAAATGATTTGAAGATTCTGATCATAGGGTCGATGTCCCGAAGCATGTTCGGCTAGTCCCATAGAAGCCTAAGCCTTCGGTAATAAAATAAATAGTATAGCCACTTCTTTCTTTATTTTACCTATAAGTTAAGGCATGTTCTTCATGTTGCAACTGATAGAAAGGTAAAGAATCATCTTGAGAGTCGAAAAAGGGGTGACGGTGTATATGAGGCTCAAAGGAAGTAAACAAGTCATCCCATTTGAAGCTAAATGCCAATATATGAATTGTTTCATTATTTATTTCCGGGTCTTTTCGTTGCATTCACTTACAACAAGAAACAACCACCAGCGTTTGGTGTAGCACCTGCATTTTGGTGCATTCTTCTTTCTTTCCTTGGTCTTTCGTTCCGTCATATTCCTAGTAACTTATCCAATTACAACGTATTAACCGCTAATGCACCTTTCTTTTATCAAATCTCAGAGACATGGTCTAATCATGAGGGTAGTATTTTATCATGGTGTCGGATCCCAAATTTTTATGGATTCCTTCTTTGTTACCGGGGTCGACCCCAAAGGCATAATGTCTCAAAACGAGGAGGCCATAGAGAAACTACTTTTTATTAGATAAATGTCAAAAGTGTTTGATTTGAAGGAAGAAAAGTCGTTTTCCTCTTCCTTCCAAATGAAAAGGCGTTTCGGAATCATCCAAAACAAGCAAATAAATAAGTCATTTTATAATTTGATTGATTTTAAATTATGTATTCATGAGAAACTGTTGTACAAGTATAGCCATAAACATTGATTAAGAATCCCTAGTCCACCATTTACATCTTTCCCTTTCATTTGGCTTCATGTTTTTCATTTGGTCATGTCCCATGCAACTATAAACTCTACCCAAACATCAAATATGTTGCTTCTTTTTCTTCCTCCCTCACGTGTTAAGGTATAGTATGGTACGGTTTGGCTTCACATTTTTAAGCCAAAACAGACACGGGTTTCCAACCTTCAATTTCCCCCTTGACCTAACACCAATAAAGGGCTGATATTTCAGACACTATAATGTCTTGTTCAATACGTATTTGTAGACGTAACCAAAATCTATTGAGTGATCTTAGTAGTCAAAATAACCTTGTATGCATAGTACATATGCTTTGCTAATAGTTAAGAAATATTATAAAAGATACAATCTTAAAATCACCCAGATTATTAAAAAAAAAAGTAGACATGACCAAATAACTACTAATTCACCTGAATATATCCCTCACTTGCCGTTGGAGCTCTATCATATACCTATTCACCCAAGAAAAAACAAAACAAAACAAAATTCTGGAAGCAGAAGTATGTCCGGACATCATCCAAAAAGATACATTGTCATTGATACAATAATTGTTTGTCAACTTGAAAAACAAACCCTCTATAGTTTATACTCAAGGACATCAAGTTACTCCCCAAAAATGACTTGATTCTTTACATTTTTCAAAGTAAATATGCTCCAGGGACTCATATTCCCAGAATGGTTCTTATCTGATCTGGAGGATGCCTTGCCAGTGATTTGGGATCTGGGTATTTGTTTTTCGGGTCCATGATTGCATTGTAAATAAGCTCATAAGCATCAGCCAATGACCTAGCTACCTGTATACATGTATCAGCACGCAACTTTGGAACTTGCATCTGTTCAAACTCAGGCAACGAACTCTCGCTTCCCAAAATAAATCCGAAGAAAGCCTTCAAACACTCTGAAAGAGAAGCTGGAGTTGTGTCTTCAACCTCAGCTAATGGTGTCCCCACTGTTGTATCCTTTGAATTACGGAAGTGATGCATCTTCATCGACAAGCCACAACTTCTAAGAATTGTGTCAACTTCTTTTTCCACGAGAACATTTACATGATTATCAATCATAGTCCCGAGTTTCTTTACATATTCAGCTGCAACCTCATGTCCAAGTAAGGGTTGCTGAATAGCACACAAGCAGTTGATAAGGAAGATCTTGGATGGAGCTTCATTGTTCTGCATAAATTCATGATATAATGAGTTTTAAAAAAGAAACCTAACGCCCAAAACCGTGCATGTAAAGCATATGAGATAGCATAAACAAAAGATCAGACGGATGTATACTTTATTAACCTGAGAGAATGTAGCAGAGTTGTTATTTGATAAAATTGCATCAACTGCAGAACTACTAAGGTGGCCTGAGTCAGAACTCATTCGGCGGCTTCTTGATGAGTGCCCAGATCCCTTTGATTTGTGTGCCTCAGCTGCTTGCTCACACATCTGCATTCCATTGAAGGTAGTAAGTTGATCTACTAACAAAAACCTAAAAGGACCGAAGTTTTGACTCCCAGATTCTAATGCAACGAACAGTGATCTGAGCAGATGTTAACTATCCGAAAATAGGAATACTTAATATTGTAAGGATCACTGACAAATACTGCACTCATTCAAGAAAAAACTTGACACACCTGAATAATCGGATCAAGTAAAGCAGATATAACTGGATCAAAAGCTGGCTTTTTCCCTGAAGCAGGAACCATCATGCTGTTATATGTGTCAATTATCTCAAGCAGCACAGAGATTCCTTCCCTCACAGCTGGTGCTGGTGAAAGATCTACAGCAACAAGGGGAGGATACCGTAAAAGCTTTTCCCCGCGACTTTTCAGAATTTCAAAGAAGTTTTCTGTGCAGCATCTTTGAGTGCCCAAAGTGCATTGCAAAGAGATGTTTCTCTCCCTAGTAGATCTGATATCTGTAAGCAAACATATATTGTTATCAACAGATGACAAGCAAACCATATACAACCAGAATAACAAGAGATAGAGATCACCCACAATGTAGCTGTAGAACTCTAGCGTGTTACTAAGTTTATAAGAGATTATAAGACTAGGTTGTGACTGTAGAACTTGCTCAACTCTCACTTTAAAAGGCCGGCAAACTCCTTCAAAAATCCTATCCAGAACAAATGTCAAGTCTGCTTCAATCTTTCCAAAATCATTCTCCACATTCTTGGATAGAAATGGGTTTGCAGCTGATCCAGTCTCTATCAATGCACCGGGATCTAATAAAGCAAGCACAAGCTCACGCTCTGATGCCAAGGCCTATAAGTAGTTCAGGAAAGCTAAATTAATACAAAAAATGAAATTAATTGTTTCCTAATATAAATACAACTATATGAAGAAGAGAAGCAGAAACCATATAGAAGACTATTTTTTCACAAACCTGATGCAACCATCCTAGCATATCTCCAACATAACGTAAGGGATCATGAGCATGCACTTCTATTGGTCTTGGCATCCCACCTGGCCCTCCCCGTGTAAGAGCACTTATAAACCTTCTAAATAATGCATTATGCCTCATATTTGCTACCTGTGATTACAGCGAAAAATCTTAATAACATGCAACAGAAAAATCACAAGGGAGTGGAGTTATGTACATAAAATTTTGACTAAATGTAGTCACCTCTTCAGCACAATACTTGAAAAGGACAGGTCTTTCCTTAAGACAACGCACGGCTGTTTTCAAAAGCTCATTAACTTCTGGATTGTCCGTGTCACCCAGTTTCCTACATTCTGCCTGAACCCATCTACAAGAAAGGGACAAGACACGTCAACCAACTATTCTAACACTTGTGGAAATCCCCCTTATCTCCTATTTTATGTCAAGTAGAGAATTCCGGACACACAGTTTCTAGCCAACAGCCACCAAGAGCCAATTAATCTAGTGTATGTAGCAAGGATTTTCGCACTTTAATAAGAAATAAAAGAATGAAGTTAAAGACAGAGAGTGGGAGGACAGTTATTAACAACATTTCAAGCATGAGATTTTACTTTTAGAATGTTCCTACACTCCAAACTCTTAACAGATATCATAGAGCATTACTTAATTCTATCTTAGAATAAAAGGTTTTATCATTCTATGTATGATTGACCTGCATAGTCGCTCATAAGCTCCTTCTTGGTACATAGCCATCATATCCATCAGCTCCAAACCAGCACGCTGTGATGGATTCTCATGTTAGTGGTTGTGTTAAGAATGTAAACAATTGAAATGAAAGCATAAGGAACCAGATCAACATATGCAATGACAAAGAAACCTAACAACAGAAGCAATTGACAGGGGAAAGAGCACAAAAGAAAATTTATAGTAAGTCTTAAATCTAAAGATATCAATGGCTAATTTGGCAATTCATAGACATACGCTAAGAGTTCATATTTAGATTAAGAAATATACTATTAACCTGATGATGCGTCCTGAGAAGTATTTTGCAGTTGGCATGAATTTCTTGAACGTGAGAAAGCGCCTTAAAGAAATTTTCATTCAACTCTTCATCTCTCAATGCGCTAATCTACAAATGGAGGAGACGAGCATAATGGATTCAAAAAAAGGGCGTCAAAAAGTATTGAAGCTAAAACTAAAAAGAAAAAGGTTTACGACTGAAACTAAACCTCTTGAGGAGAAAGCTGATAATCTCGAAGGAAGTAGGAGACTATCTGCTGCTTTGAGTGGTAACTTCAAGTTCCTGCTTCAACCTCTCGGTGGTATTGATAATAT